CGCCCGCGCGCGTCGAATGAGGAAGCTGCGCTCACTGCCCATCGCAACAAACGTGTGCCAATGGTGCAGAACAGCATTCGCGTCACGTGAATCCTGCCTTCGTCACTGCACCGCGATGGACTGCAGAGTGCCACGAACATGCCTACTCGCTCCACGTCCTCTGCCTTTTGGCCCATGGGGCCTCCTTCTCGCGCGTGCGGCTACGGTGCCGCCGAGCATTACTTACTACATGCTCGCCTTGAACACATTTGTACTCGCGTCGGCGGGCCAGATGGCGCAGCAGTGGAGGCTCCAGCGCGGATGGGGGGGGGGGGGGGGCGAGGGGCAGCGCCGAGGCTCTCGGACAACCAGCAGCGAAGTCACCGCGCCGTGGCGCCCCGAGGAAGCAGAATGGCAAGTCCAATGGTTTCGATGCGAGCGGAGAGGACATGTTAGCGTTCGATAAGCTTTCGCTGAAATTACTCTGGCGACGTACCCAACCCCTGCGCAAAGGCGGGGCGCAAATAGTTTAGGATACTTTATAAAGGGGGCGATGGCGGAGCGAGGGTTGCACATATCTGCGGACGGAATCCGGGAGATTCGCAGGACACTGGTTACAGGAAAAGGGCTTGATAACGCTGATGAGTTACAATGCCTGAGCACTCCTGGCCACTTCGAAAACGGTGATCACAGCAGGCCTCGAAAGTGGCGACAGTTTCGCAGATCGCAACCCCCCAGGGATGGCGAGGTCTAATTTGGGTCCGCGCGTGGCGTCGCTGTGCTGCCCCCCCCCCCCCCCCCAGCAGGCCTCGAACGTGGCGGCAGTTTCGCAGATCGCAGCCCCGCAGGGATGGCGAGGTCTCATTTGAATGTGCCCGTGGCGTCACTGCGCTGGGCCCCCCAGCAGGCCTCGAAAGTGGCGACGGTTTCACAGACCGCAGCCCCCCAGGGATGGCGAGGTCTAATTTGAATATGCCCGTGGCGTAACTGTGCAGGGCCCCCCAGCAGGCCTCGAAAGTGGCGACACTTTCACAGGTCGCAGCCCCCCCAGAGATGGCGAGGTCTAATTTGAATCCGCGCGTGGCCCTCACTGTGCTGGGCCCCCCAGCGGGCCTCGAAAATGGCGACCGTTTCACAGATCGCACCCCCCCAGGGATGGCGAGGTCTCATTTGAATCTGCCCGTGGCCCTCATTGTGCTGGCCCCCCCAGCAGGCTTCGAACATGGCGACCGTTTCACAGACCGCAGCCCCCCCCAGGAATGGCGAGGTCTCATTTGAATCTGCCCGTGGCCCTCACTGTGCTGGGCCTCCCAGCAGGCTTCGAAAATGGCGACAGTTTCACAGACCGCAGCCCCCCCAGGGATGGCGAGGTCTCATTTGAATCTGCCCGTGGCCCTCACTGTGCTGGGCCTCCCAGCAGGCTTCGAAAATGGCGGCAGTTTCACAGATCGCAGCCCCCCCAGGGATGGCGAGGTCCAAGTTGAATCCGCGCGTCGCCCTGACTGTGCTGGACCCCCCAGCAGGCTTCGAAAATGGCGACAGTTTCACAGATCGCAGCCCCCCAGGGGATGGCGAGGTTTCATTTGAATCTGCGCGTCGCCCGCGCTGTGCTGGGCCCCCCAGCAGGCTTCGAAAATGGCGACAGTTTCACAGATCGCAGCCCCCCAGGGATGGCGAGGTCGAATTTGAATCTGCGCGTCGCCATCACTGTGCTGAGCCCCCCAGCTGGCCTCGAAAATGGCAACAGTTTCACAGATCGCAGCCCCCCCAGGGACGGCGAGGTTTAATTTGAATCTGCGCGTCGCCCTCACTGTGCTGGGCCCCCCAGCAGGCCTCGAAAATGGCGACAGTTTCACAGATCGCAGCCCCCCAGGGATGGCGAGGTCTAGTTTGAATCTGCGCGTCGCCCTCACTGTGCAGGGCCCCCCAGCAGGCCTCGAAAATGGCGACAGTTTCACAGATCGCAACCCCCCGCAGGCAAGACAGGAAGAGGCAGGGAGGGAGGAGGAGGAGGAAGGAAGGAGTGGAGACCACACTGCTCTATTCAAAACGAATACCCAACCAAGGAGGGTTGGGAAACAAAAAAACGCACAGCAGATCAGGACCATCTCAGGCAGCTCGTGGGACTTCTTCTTGGTGGACGGAGGCGATCGGCCAGCGGCCGCCGCAGGGGCAGCAGGGGTATCGAAATGTGCGGGGCGCAACCAAGCGGGGGATAATGACCTGGGCAGCCCGCGCGTGCACGTGGCCGCGGAGTTCTTCGGAGCGCTCGGCAAAGCTGAAAACTCCCCCCCGCGCGCGAAAGAGGACATGGTGAAGTTCAGCGCGATCATCGACGTAATTCCGCACGACGAGCTAGCGGGCTCGGCGCGCTACCTGCGCGCGAAGAAAGCACGCCAGGAGCAGGGCCAGCAGGAGTGGTGGAAACGCGCATCATGCTGAACCCGCCCGGCCCCGGCCCTTTCGCGACGCAGAACGAGACGGAGGTCAACAGGATCCGCGAGAGAAGCGCCGAGCAGCAGATGAAGTTCGACGCGTTGGGTGCACCGCAGATTCGCTCCATGATAAACGCGGCGATGAAGGCGACGGGCGGCGCAGCCATCGCGGGATCTCCACCGCCGACGGCGCTCGAGAGACAGGTTCAGAAGTTCGTGAGGCAACGGCAGGGCACGGCGCGGACCTACAAGGACACAGACGCCAGGCGCGAGCCGGCAGCGTGAGAGCAGCCGAGTTGCTGCTAACCTAAATGGTACTAGACCGCCAGGCAAGCGGAGATAGCGGGCGGGCGGGAGGTGTGAGGGGGTAGGCTTCTTTTCGTTTTTTGTTATATATATATATAATGTTTTCTTGTTTGCTTTATGTTTCTTCCTTTTTTCCGGATGCGCCGCGACTGTGCGTCTGCCTCTAACAGGACCAAGAGGTCCGTGCGGACGCTGGGCAGATCGCGCGTCGCATTTGGGGGGGGTCTTGCTATCAGATGCAGGCCTCGCCTCTTCCGTTCTCGTTGCCGCTACCCCGCTGGACTCCCAGGTCCTGCGCTCCTCGCCTCGGGCTCCACCCCTCTCGCTTGGTTCCTGCCCTGGCTTTCGGAGGCGCTCCCGAGGACTCGTGGCTTTCGGTTGTTTTTTTTCGGTGGCCTTTAGGGCCCTTAGGGCCACTGAGATCTTTCCCGACAGATTTCTTGAGTGACTGAGTTTAAGCAGATAACTCTGTCAGTCTAGTGGGCATGCCCACTTACTAGTGGAGGGAGTGGGGTGGAGGCGGTTGGGAGCTTCTCTTGCAGCAGCAACGCACGTTGAGGTCAGGTAAGCAGTAGCACTTATCGCCCGAGAGTGGGGGGATGCGCCATAGTGCGACAACCTTCACCCGCCAAAAGCTGTCAACGCGGGAGGGATTTTCGGTCCAGTGCCGAAGCGGGCCCGAGAGGCTCAATAGGCCATGGTTCCCGCAGGCATCCCTCTGCGACGCCGAATGATATAGCCAGCAGCTCTAAACTCGAGTTCCAGGCGAGCAGCCTCTTACCAGCATTGAGACAGAGGTTACCGAACTGCCAAGGCTTCCGACTTCGACGAGTCCGGCTCCCCCCTCCTGCTCTTTCCGCCCATGGTCGTTGCGATATGGACGCGCCGCATTCGGGCCATGTGCGCGCCCCCCTTCCCATTCTCCGTCTCCCCACGTCTCCTGCCCCTCGTCCTGTTTCCCCGTCCTCCTTCCATCCTGCTATCACCCTCTCGCTCCCCCCATCCTCCCCCATCCTCCATCCCCATCCTCTTCCTCCATTCCCCTCCGCCTCTTCATCCTCCTCCTTCGTCTGCTCTTGACTATTCACCTTTTTTACAGGCGCGTCGTATGAGCGGTCGTTTGGGGCGCCAGCGCAGCGGGGATAACGATTCCCGCTCGCGCCCACGCTCCCGCAGCACTGCAACACCATACACTGAAAGAGACAGGAGCGATATCGCCTGACCACCTTCCAGTCTTCCTCACCCTCCAGCGAAAAGAGATGGACAGACACACGACGCAGGGCCACAAGGGGTGGCGGGGACACCTGGATGGCGAGGGGGGGGCCTACCGCCAGTGCCCGCAGGCGAGTCGGAGAGCGGTAAGAAGACCTAGAGGGGAGCATGTGGGGCGAGCTAGTCCAGCACAGCTAGCGCGCCCACGGAAACTGACAAGACCAAGTGCGAGACCACCTCCCTCTTGACTCCCACACCCTCGAACGTATTAAATAACAAAGGGGTGAGGCTTGTCATTTCCAGGCCGAGCTTGGCCTTGGGCTCCCAAGGGGGGGCTAGTCCCACGGGGCTGCGCTGGTGGTTTGTTTCGCGCAGTGCCGTCCATGCCGCCCGTGGACACTCATTCCTCCCCCCTCCTCCCCGTCCTTCTTGCCTCCGGCCCTGGCACTGCCCGGTGCATGACGCCATTCCAGCACAGTCTCAGTGTGGGTTGCCAGCCAGGGTTCGCCCTCGTCAGCATCCAACAGCAACAAGCTGCGAGTTGGGGTGTCCCTCCGCAACGGGTGCCCCCCACCTCGGCAGTCCCTCCTCGGTGCAGGGACTGTTCACAGGCGGCCCGCTCGCAGACCTTGCAGTTTGGTCAGTGATCCTCCTCCTTCTCCTCCTCGTCCTCCTCCTCCTCCTTCTCCTTCTCTCCCTTTTCCTCGTCCTTTCCCTCCTCCTCCTCCTCCACCTCCTCCTCCTCCTCCTCGTCCTCCTCCTCCTCATCCTCCTCTTCCTCCTCCTCCTCCTCCCCCTCCTCCTCGTCCTCCTCCTCGTCGTCCTCCTCCTCCTCCTCGTCCTGCCTCCGCCCCCTGCAGTCTTCCAGCCTCCCCGCCTCCGTCACCCGCGCGCCGAGGGCCGCCCCTCGCCGGGCGCAGGCGCCGGCCAGCGAGCCGGAGGACAAAGGGAACTCCTCGTCCAACTCCTCGTCCTCGTCCTCGTCCTCCTCCTCCTCCTCCTCGTCCTCCTCCTCCTCCTCCTCCTCGTCCTCCTCCTCCTCCTCCTCGTCCTCCTCCTCCTCGCCAGGCGCAGGTGCCGACCAGCGAGCCGGAGGACAAGGGGAACTCCTCGTCCAACCAGTCCTCGTCCAACCAGTCGGACGGCGAGGCCTGGGGGCATCACCCTTGGGAGTAGGAAGCGCACCACCACCACCACCACCACCACCACCACCACCACCACCACCATCACCACCACCACCACCACCACTTGGTATCGCTCGGACGTGTGCATTTTCCTTCGGCGGGGACCATCGAGGAGCATCCTTGATGATTTGGCGACAAAGCCACGCGCGAAACCGAAAAAGGCACAGGAAATGGACGTCCGAGCGATGGCCAGACCACCACCACCACCACCACCACCACCACCACCACCACCACCACCACCACCACCACCACCACCACCACCACCTGGGGGGATTCAGGATGAGCTCGAAGAACAAAAAACGGCAGAAACATAAGCCTTTTGGCAGTCCGCGCGGGTTTTCTTGGGTCCGCCCTGGGACCCCCTTGGCGGCGCCTCCGGCGCCGCTCCTGGCGCGCGGAGCGCGCCAGGGAGTGGGGTCAAGTGCAGATCCAAGAAATCCGCGCGGGCCGTCAAAAGTTTGTGTTTATGCCGTTTTGTTCCTCTCTGAGCTGTTGTGCGGGGGTGCACGATGTCCCGCGCGAGCGCCCGAGCGATAGACCTCACCGCCACCCCTGACCACCCTCTGCCTCCATCCTCCAGGTGGTGGTGGTGGTGGTGGTGCGTTCCCTTCTCGCTACATCCTCGTCGTGGAGAAAAGCCACGGCTTCTGTCCTTTGCTAACTGGTCTACGTAGGCCTCTGGAGACCCTCGCCGGGCGTTTCCTGGGATGAAGCGCCGGTCGTGGGGAGTGGGTCGGGACCTCCAGGGGTCCACGTTTCGGAAAGGCACGACGTCGGCAGGGCGTGTTCGCGGTGCTGTCGCGTCGGCCGGTCGCGGTCGGCCGCGTCCCAGTCGGTGCGGCTCGGTCGGCTGCTGTTGTGCCCTTGCCGCGCCGCTGAGGCTCATCTGGGCTGCCTGCGGCCTGTCCGTTTCGGTCGATTCCGGTCTCGTTTTCGGCTCGGTCGGGTTCCGGCTTAACGCCATTGTGAACGGCCTTGACCCAGGAGGATCGGAATGGGCCATGGGGACGGAGAAGGGGAGTGTTTTGTTTACCTTTTGGGCCATAACGCGCGTTATGCCCTCTTCCCTCCCCCAACCCCTCCCCACCCCCATACCGTAACGCTCCCCCCCTCAGTGCGTCCGCGGCACTGCTGCAGTGCGTCCGGCACCACAGTCTGGGGCGGGGCGGGGAGCGTTACGTTGTGCGCCCCCCCGTCCCCCCTCCCCCCTCCCGCCACATGACGGCCGCTTTCGCCGCGAATTAGAACATGCGCTCCTGCTGACAGCAGTTCCTGTCCATTTTGTGGAAGGTTCGCTGCCAGTACTGCAGGGCGCTGTCCGCTTGGGACCAGCGTCGCCTGCTCAACAGCGGCCGCTGTGGGTATCGTCCCCATCCATTCAGCAGGGATCGGATGACGCATGTCGGATGGACGCCAACAAGACAACACTAGCCCTGGGTCCATCTTTGGCCCTGGGCTGGTGTATAGACCTCCAGGCCTAGTCCAGGATGATGTGATGGGCCTCTTTTCCACCACCACCACCACCACCACCACCATAAAGATAGAGGGGGGAGGGGGTCCTCCCCCCCTCTTCTTCCTCCTCATCCTCCACCTCCTTCCCCCCTCCAACTTATGGTGGTGGTGGTGGTGGAAAACAGGCGCATCACAGGAGGGCACGTACGCCAGCCCAGGGCCTAGAATGGGCCTGTCCAGGGCTGGTGGTGGTGTATTGCTTGGAGCTCTCCTAGCACGGCCGCCGCCGCGCGGACCGCCGCCGCCGCCTGGACGGGGGACCGCGGGCGGGGTCTGGGGCAGTGGTGGTTCCCCGATCAGTGCGCGCGCTGAGTCCTGGCGGAGGCTGTGTCAGGCGATCGCAAACATGGACCAAGGGGGCGTGGATTAGCGATGGGTCCCGCTTCCATGGGAAATCGCGGACGTCCGCCGCCGAACGAGGCGGCGCCGGCCGCCTTTTGGGGAGGTGCCTAATCCATGTTTGCGCGCCCCCGATTGTGGGGAGTGGGTCTGCACGGCAGGGGTCGACCTGAACGGTGTTTTGGCGATTCTGTGGACCGTTTTCGTTTCGAGTTCGCTTTGCAGCAAAGGCGGATTGGAGGCAAAAGGAGGGAAAGCGACGAAACCAAAACGAACACCGAAAACACTGTTTGGGTCGAGCCCTGCTGCACGGACACGGAGATGTCGCGCGCCGCGGTCGCGCCCTACGGTCCAGGCTCAAGGAGTTGCCATTTCCCCCCCCCTTCGAGCTTCTGCTCGAGCGTTTTTGGCCCCCTTGCTGGGACTCCAGGGGGCCCTTGGCATGCCCTTCCCGCCGCCCTTCCCCGGGCCCGAGGTCAGGCGCCAGGGGAACCCTGGGCCACCTGTGGGGGCGTGGTGATTCTCGCGCCTCCGCGCTGCCGCCGCCGACGACGACGCCGACGACGACGACGACGCGACGACGATGCCGCCCCCGTCGACGCTGACGACGACGACGACGCCGACGCCGACTCCGACGACGCCGCCGCCGCCGCCGACTACAGACCGCGACGCCGCCGACCACGACGACGTCGGGCTGCGACGCCGACGACGCCGCCGCCACCGCCGACGACGACGGCGAGGACGACGACGACGACGACAACGACGCCGAAGACGGCGATGACGACGGCGACGAGGACGGCGACGCCGCCGACTCTGATTACGACGACGATCACGCCGCCGCCGACGATTCTGGAGGGCGACAACGACGATGACGACGACGACGACGACGACGACGACGACGACGGTGGAGCCGCCGCCGCCGCGGCCGACGACGACGGCCACGACGACAGCAACGACGCCAGACAGTAACGCCGAGGACGCCGCCGCCGCCGTTGCCGCCGCCGCCGCCGCCGCCGCCGCCGCCGCCGACGACGACGACGACGACGACGACGAGGACGACGACTGGATGACGACGCCGCCGCCGTCGACGACGACGATGATGACGACGCCGCCGACAACGATAGCGCTGGCGACGCCGCCGCCGCCGACGACGCTGGACCGCGACGCCGGGCGGCGACGCCGACCACGACGGCACCGCAGCGGGAGGCCACCAGCGGCCTCCCGGGCATGCTCGAGGCGGCCCTGCGGGCCGAGCTGCCGGCGTTCGGAGAGGCGCGCCCCGAGCTCGACGAGGCGCGCCCTCTGCCGCGCGGGTATTGCGCGCGCCCGCGGGAGCCGGGGGGCTCCCCACGCTTTGCACCCTTTGGGGAGGGCCCCGCCCGTCCTGTGGTTGCGCTCCTCTCTGAGGAGCGTGCTCCGGCTCGGGCTCGGCGCGGGTTCGAGGTGGGTCCGACGCGGGGTCGGCACGGCTCTGGCGCCCTGCGACATGGGCTCGACGTGGGCTTGACGGGGACGAGTGGCGCGATGGGACCCACGCTGCCCTAGAAGATGCAGTTCTTTCTTCTTGGAGACTTGCGGAATGGAGCCCAGGGCGGTCTCAACACTCCAACCCACGCGGAGCGCTCTAGGGGCGCCGCCGGATGTGGCGCCAGGGCGTTGAGACCGCCCGAGAAAATTGGGGGGGCCTGTTGAGGCCAGCTGGGATTACATCGGCCCAATGAAAGTTGCTTAAATCTTGTCACGACGATCACCAGCGGAAGTCGACGGAAGTAGAAGGAGGCGGACGACGACGGAAGGCATGCAGAAGACAGCGGAAGTAATTGCCACCCGTGGAAATCGACGAAAGTAGGACGAGGCGGAAGACGGTGGAAGGCTTGCATCATACAGCGGAAGTAGATGACGTCCTTTCGGAACCCCATATCCCCGTAGAAGCCTAGTAGTCTTCTGCTGTGGGCCGGGCGGGATCCCGCATAGTTTAGTCCCCTTTGGAACATATAGGTTTAGTTCAGCTCTGTCAGAATCCCACCCATCAAACATGAAGGAAACCACAATTCTGGGTCGTTCACGGATCCCGCCGTGCTGGGATCGGTTCGACGTGTGATGGGGTCCATAGTTCAAGGATTCGTGTTGCTTTTCGGCCGTCTGGAAGCCATCTTCCGACGATGTGGGTCATCTCAGGGTCATCTCAGGGTCTCCTGGAGGACATCGTCGGTGGTCTGAGGTTCCAGTGGTAGCATTCTGGGGCTAGGGCGTCACACGGTCATTGCGCGCACTTGCGAATACTCGTCCGTGAGCTCTTCCGAGGAGCCTTCTGCTGGAGCCGAGTAAGTCGTCGGGGGGCCCTGGTGAGGCCAGCCGAGGCTACCTTGTGGGCTGTCTATGCGCAGCCCGAAGCCTTACTAGATTCACCAGAGACAAAAGTACCACTACCACCAGCTAGGGGGGTGGCTGGCCCACCCTCTCGAGCTGGTGGCACCTCGTTCTGGCGTGCCTCCAGAGAGCTCCAGGAGGGAGGTGCCACCAGCTCGAGAGGGGGGAGCGGCCACCCCCCGAGCTGGTGGTGGTGGTACTTTTGTCGCTCCTGATAGGACCTGGGTTTGCCAGGACTCGGGTTCGCCATCGTTTTTTGACGACCGCGACTCGGATTTTGACGAGGAGGAGTTTCGTGGGATGTCTGCAGCGGGAGGCCTCGTCAACATGCAGGCTCGGCCTCGTCATTTTTTTGACGACCTCGTCGGGGATTTCCGAGTCCCCTGTACCCGGGTCTTGCGCCCCCCTGATAGGTGGGCAGAGCGGCGCTCGTCATGGAGCCTCTCCTTCCGGCGCCTTGGGCCGCACGACGGTGCCCGCGGAGACCCGGCTGGCAGCCTTCCCTGCGCCGCACCGCGTGCGGTGCCTGCCTTTTGCGGCAGGCGGCGGTCGGCCAGGAGAGGCCCGGGGTCGCAGAGGCCGCCCCGCCACGGAAACCAACACGCTGGCCGGCGAACGTAGATGTTTTTGGAATATCCTCCTCCTCCTCCTCCTCCTCCTCCTCCTCCTTCTCCTCCTCCTCCTCCTCCTCCTCCTCCTCCTCCTCCTCCTCCTCCTCTTCCTCCTCCTCCTCCTCCTCCTCCCTCTCTCCCTCCCAGAACGCTCCCAGATCGTTTCGGAACGCCCCGAGACGGCCGCGGCGCCCGAGACGCGAGGCGCCCTCCAGAGCTGCCCTGTCCCAGAGATCGGGGGCGGAAAAGAGGGGGTTGATGACTAGGGGGGGTGTGGATATCATGGCGCGGGCCCTGAGATTTCCCCAGATTTCATGGTGCTTCTTCTTGTTTCATCACGTCCCTGGCCCCCCCGCTGGGCCGCGCACGTGCCGCCGGTCGTGATTTGCACCACCCCTCTTGGACACCCCCCTCTTGGCCGCTCCCGATCTGAGGTCCCAGCTTGTTTTAGCCGCCTTTCTATCTCAAGAGTCGCGTGGTTTTCCCCTTGCTCTCCTCTTCAGGGGGCGGGCGGAAACCCAATCTACTTCCAACGCCTTCCTACTTGATGGTTCTACCTACTCCTTTCGACCGGCGGGTACGCAAACGCCTTCTAATGGACTGCACCTGAGTCTCAACGGAGGGTTGCGGTGTATGAATCACCACTGAGAGCCAGCGACTTTACACACCGCCACCATTTCTGCAAAGTTCGTCGGAGGGTGCCTGTGTATATACTTTCGTGTCGTAGCCACGCCCCCTTGGCAACCGCCCGTTGGTCGTAGAGGACCCCCCGAAGCATATGCGAACAGACATGCTCTGAGGTCCGCGCGGTTTTCTTGGATCTGCGCTCCCAGACATGCTCGCGCCGTAAACGGGAGGTCTTTTGTCGTTCTCGGTCTGAGGGGGCCCTCGCTGGGCTTGGGGCCCGTCGAACAATTTTTCGGGATGGGAAACCGGCCCTTGGGAAAGGGTCGCGGCTTCGGGGAACCGCGCATTTAACAGCGTTTAGCACATTTAGACAACGAATGTCTAGGCTCGCTTCGTTTCTCACGTGGCACGTGCATATCTTTGAACATGTACAGATACGCATATCCCCTTTCCTATATTTTTATAATTTCGGGGGTGCGGACCCCCCCCCCGAAACGGGACCCCCCGGATCCGTGCCACGGGGGCGGCCGAAAATCCTTTCCAAGGCGTGCACGCAGGCGGTCGGCAGTGCCAAATCGGTCGGCGCAAGCCCGCAGAGATACCCAAGACAGTCCAGGATAGCACCCGGGTAGCCTTGAAGACCCTCCGCGAGAGCCCCAAGACCGTTCTCAAAGGAGGCCCGAGAGAACAAAATCATTGAATTTCCATTGGTTTTTCAATGTTTTTAGCTTCCTCGCTTTTTCGGGTTTCCGACGCTCCCGGACAGCCCACGAAGCTCCCAAAACCGCTCCAAGACGGCCCAAGAAGCTCCCAGAGCGCGCTGAGAGCGCCCCAAGACGGTCCAAGACGCGCCCGAGATGGCCCACGAACGCTCCAAGACGGCCCAAGAAGGGGCCCCAGGGGGGACCACGAACTGAAAATACGAGCCTCCCGCCCCGAGAAGGCCCAAGGAGGCCCCAAGAGACCTCCACAGGGCCTCGGGAAGCCCCCTAAGTAGCTCCGGTGAGGCTCAAAAAACATCCCAAATTGTTACTTTTCCATTGGTTTTTCCATGTTTTCAGCGTCCTCGCTTTTTCGGGTGTCCGACGCTCCAAGACCGCCCAAGAAGCTCCCAAAACCGCCCCACAACGGCCCAAGAGGCTCCCAGAGCGCTCTGAGAAAGCCCCCAAACGACCCTAGATGCGTCCGAGATGGCCCACGAACGTTCCAAGACGGCCCAAAGAGGAGCCCTAGGGGGGACCACGATCTGAAAATACGAGCCTCCCGCCCCGAAAGAGCCCAAGGAAGCCCCAAGAGAGCTCCAAAGGGCCTCGGGAGGCCCCCTAAGACGTTTCGGTGAGGCTCCAAAAACATTCAAAAAAGTTACTTTCCAATGAGTTTTTCAATGTTTTCAGCGTCCTTGCTTTTTCGGGTTTCCCACGTTCCAAGACCGCCCACGAAGCCCCCCAAACCGCTCCACAACGGCCCAAGGGGCTCCCAGAGCGTCCTGAAAAGCCCCAAGACGGTCCAAGACGCGCCCCAAGACGGTCCAAGACGGCCCACGAACGCTCCGAGACGGCCCAAAGAAGGGCCCCTGGGAGGACCAGATAACTGAAAATACGAGCCTCCCGCCCCGAAAGGGCCCAAGGAGGCCCCAAGAGAGCTCCAAAGAGCTTCGGGAGGCTCCCTGGGAAGCTCCGGCGAAGCTCCAAAAAGCTTCCAAATCGTTAGTGTTCCATTGGCTTAAGCGGAGGAGGAGAAGGAGAAGGAGAAGGAGGAGGAGGAGGAGGAGGAGGAGGAGGAGGAGGAGGAGGAGGAGAAGAAGGCAGAGAAAGAAGGAGAACGAGGAGGAGGAAGAGGATGATGATGATGAGGAGGAGGAGGAGGCTGAGGAGGAGGTGGATGAGGGGAAGGAGGAGGAGGAGGAGGAGGAGGAGGAGGAGGAGGAGGAGGAGGAGGAGGAGGAGGAGGAGGAGGAAGAGGCCACAATCCCGGGTTCGCAACCATTTTTGGGGAAATTCCGTTGTCAACCCAGGATTCCAGCAAATTTCCAGCCACTCCGCTGAATTTGCGTTATTCAGTGCGTCCGTAGCCTCGGGCTCAGTGCGGGCGACATTCGCAACATGCCTCGTCAGAAGGAGATTGTTTTTCCCCATATCCTAAGGATTGGGGTTCTTGTTATTACTCTGACGCCTCCCACTCCTCCTCCTCCTTCTTCCTCCCGCTCGCGCCTCCCTCCTCCCAATGATAATCACCAGATAAGACAAGACAAGATAAGATACTACAAGATAAGATAAGATAGCACAAGATATGATAAGAAGAGATTTCAAGATAAGATAAGATAAGTTAAGCTCACACTCACACTCTCTCATGATCACAAAACGCTGCCAGGGGCATCATTTGGGAGCCCCAAGGGGGAGCCACCCTGGCTGATCTCACGAGCCCGTTCGCGCCGATTTTGGTGGGACGTCTCAGCTAGAATTGCCGTTTGGCGCCCCCAACATGTATCTCTTGAGAGCCTCATGGTCACAAAACGCTGCCAGGGGCATCATTTGGGAGCCCCAAGGGGGAGCCACCCTGGCTGATCTCACGAGCCCGTTCGCGCCGATTTTGGTGGGACGTCTCAGCTAGAATTGCCGTTTGGCGCCCCCAACATGTATCTCTTGAGAGCCTCATGGTCGCAAAACGCTGCCAGGGGCATCATTTGGGAGCCCCAAGGGGGAGCCACCCTGGCTGATCTCACGAGCCCGTTCGCGCCGATTTTGGTGGGACGTCTCAGCTAGAATTGCCGTTTGGCCTCCCCAACATGTATCTCTTGAGAGCCTCATGGTCACAAAACGCTGCCAGGGGCATCATTTGGGAGCCCCAAGGGGGAGCCACCCTGGCTGATCTCACGAGCCCGTTCGCGCCGATTTTGGTGGGACGTCTCAGCTAGAATTGCCGTTTGGCGCCCCCAACATGTATCTCTTGAGAGCCTCATGGTCACAAAACGCTGCCAGGGGCATCATTTTGGGAGCCCCAAGGGGGAGCCACCCTGGCTGATCTCACGAGCCCGTTCGCGCCGATTTTGGTGGGACGTCTCAGCTAGAATTGCCGTTTGGCGCCCCCAACATGTATCTCTTGAGAGCCTCATGGTCACAAAACGCTGCCAGGGGCATCATTTGGGAGCCCCAAGGGGGAGCCACCCTGGCTGATCTCACGAGCCCGTTCGCGCCGATTTTGGTGGGACGTCTCAGCTAGAATTGCCGTTTGGCGCCCCCAACATGTATCTCTTGAGAGCCTCATGGTCACAAAACGCTGCCAGGGGCATCATTTGGGAGCCCCAAGGGGGAGCCACCCTGGCTGATCTCACGAGCCCGTTCGCGCCGATTTTGGTGGGACGTCTCAGCTAGAATTGCCGTTTGGCGCCCCCAACATGTATCTCTTGAGAGCCTCATGGTCACAAAACGCTGCCAGGGGCATCATTTGGGAGCCCCAAGGGGGAGCCACCCTGGCTGATCTCACGAGCCCGTTCGCGCCGATTTTGGTGGGACGCCTCAGCTAGAATTGCCGTTTGGCGCTCCCCAACATGTATCTCTTGAGAGCCTCATGGTCACAAAACGCTGCCAGGGGCATCATTTGGGAGCCCCAAGGGGGAGCCACCCTGGCTGATCTCACGAGCCCGTGACGAGAGAGAGAGAGAGAGAGAGAGAGAGAGCAGAGAGAGAGAGAGAGAGGAAGCGAGAGAGAGGGAGAGAGAGAGAGAGAGAGAGAGAGAGAGAGAGCGAGAGAGAGAGAGAGAGGGGGAGTTGAGAGAGGAGACAGGCGAGAGAAAGAGAGAAGAGAGAAGAGAGAGAGAGAGAGAGAGAGAGAAGAGAGAAGAGAGAAGAGAGAGAGAGAGAGAGAGAGAGAGAGAGAGAGAGAGAGAGAGAGATAGAGATAGAGAGAGAGAGAGAGAGAGAGAGAGAGAGAGAGAGAGAGAGAGAGAGAGAGAGAGAGAGAGAGAGAGAGAGAGAGAGAGAGAGCGAGAGAGAGAGAGAGAGAGAGAGAGAGAGAGAGAGAGAGAGAGCGGGAGAGAGCGAGAGAGAGAGAGAGAGAGCAGAGAGAGAGAGAGAGAGAGAGAGAGCGGGAGAGAGCGAGGGAGAGCGAGAGAGAGCGAGAGAGAGCGAGTGAGAGCGAGAGAGAGAGAGAGAGAGAGCGAGAGAGAGCGACAGAGAGCGAGAGAGAGCAAGAGAGAGCGAGAGAGCGAAAGAGAGAGAGAGAGAAGAGAGAGAGAGAGAGATAGAGAGAGAGAGAGAGAGAGAGAGAGAGAGAGAGAGAAGATAAGAGAAGAGAAGAGAAGAGAGAGAGCGAGAGAGAGAGAGAGGGAGAGTGAGAGAGAGAGGAGAGAGCAGAGAGAGAATAGAGAGAAGAGAGAGAGAGAGAGAGAGAGAGAGAGAGAGAGAGGCAGAGAGAGGCACAGAGAGAGAGGCACAGAGAGAGAGGCAGAGAGAGAGGCAGAGAGACAGAGGCAGAGAGAGAGAGAGGCAGGGAAAGAGAGGCAGAGACAGAGAGAGGGCAGAGAGAGAGAGAGAGAGACAGAGAGAGCAGAGAGAGCAGAGAGAGAGGCAGCTCAGTCACACTTAAATCCAGATTCGTCCTCACCGAGTCCCACTACCAAGGGAGCGCCAGCAAGGAGATGCACATATGGGGATCCCCACGCAGTGAATAATTACGTGCACCGACTGTTGCGGAACTTTGCCAGCTGATGCCTTCTCCAAAACTCAACTGCACCAATCCAACCGGGCCTGCATGACATGTGCGAGTCAACGATTGCTAGCATGTAGCGGCCGTCCTGCACGAACGTCTGTTGCATGCAGCCGATGTGGGGAAATCCTGGACCTCAGTAGTTTCAGCGCTCATCAAGTGCGGTTGTCCAACAGTGCTCGCGTTTGTACCTCGCGTGTTCCACCCCAAGCTCACCGCCTCGCGACCGCAAGCTCTGCCACGCTTGAGCAGCGCTCGCTTGCTCCATTTCCGGAGGAATTTCTCCGCTCCTCCGTAAATGGAGCAAGCGAGCGCTGCTCAAGCGGATGCAGGAGGGCGCAACGGCCCCGCAACAGCAACCGCCAGACCGCTCCACAAGGCTCCGGGAGAACCCCCGCGAACCCCGCGCGGCCCCCACTCATGCGCGCAATTCCATGCGCCCGCGGCTTCCAACTCGCAGTTCTGGCCCGTCCCAGGTTGATTGCCCCCTTTTCTGCTCTTCCTGCGCTTCTCCGAAGTACGAACCAGCGGGCCGCGGCTAAAATGGAAAAAAATGATGGCACCGCGGGCAAACCGTTCCAAAACTTCAAGGAACAAGGTGCATGGCGCGAAGCGCCAATGCAGCCTTGTGTGTGTATATAGATATGTGTATATATATATATATATATATATATAGGTGTGTGTGTGTGTTCATCGAAACATCTACACACATATATCGATATACACATTTACATCGATATACACATTTACACACATACATATGGCCTTCGGCCCATTCCGCAACCGTGCCTGGGTTGTGGTTTTGAAGCCTATTGGACGTTCGTTGGGTTCTCGTGGGAGGCCTCCCAGGGGCTTCCAATTAAGGCATCTTGGGGGCCGTTTGGGGGCCTCTTGGAGCTTCGTTGGGGCCTCTTGGGGGCCTCTTGGGGCATCGCCTCGTAGGGCCTCCTGGGGGCTTCTAAGGGAGGAAGGCTCGGATTTTCTAGGACTCGAGTGCGCCCTGGGAGCGTCGTCGTTTTCTCGAGCCGGGCGCTTTCGCCGGGTTTCGGGCCTCGAGACCCTCACACATCGACCTGGCTCGAAGAGTTGCGCAGGAAGACGGGGCCCGGGGCTCGGGTTCTGCGATCATCAGGATTTGTTGTTTGGTTCGCGGCGTCGGATCTCAGGGGGTCGGGGAAACGTAAGACGCTAGTGCGCCGGAACTTGGGCTTGCCGACTTTTTGACGAGCGCGTCTTGGATTTTCACGGTCCGTTTTTTCCGTGGGATGTTTGCAGCGGGAACTCGCGTCAGATGTCAGATTGGGCCTAGTCATTTTCATGATGGCCCGCTGGACCAACCCTAGTCCCCGAACCCGAGCCTGGCGTCTTCCCGATTTTCGAAACCCAGATTCACGGATTCACCACCCACCAAACCACCACAACCCAACCCGAAGGCCCCCATTTGCCCTGCATTCCCAGTGGGGGTGGCGTCGGGGAACATTTGAAAGACACATGTGGTGCCCGTACCCCCCCACCCGAATTTGGGGTCTTCGGGTTGGGTTGGGGTGGTCTGGTAGTTAGTCAACGGCCTCCTCTGTACCCGCGTCCACTTTTGCGGAGCTCAAGGGACGGGGGTCACTGCAAACGAGGGTCAGCCAGGGCGCCGGATCTTGCAGGATCCTGCAGAGCCAGGGCTGCTCTGACCCGGTCTTGCGTGCAGGTTCTTGCAGGATCTTGCAGGATCCTGCAAAGCCCGATTGGCCCTGGTTTGCATTGATCGACCCGGAAACCCATATTCACCGACGGCCTCCTCAGGGGATGTGGGCGGCAGCTCACCCCGCCTTCTGAGTTTGCTTTTCGACTGCTTCAAGCAACTGTTCTCCCATATAAATAACGCTCCAAGCCGGTGTGCTCCAACCTGGCCTACCCAGTCCAGGAGATCACGACATCCACGGACGAGTCAGCGCCAGCTTCCATTCTGAGCGTGAGGGGGCAGAGAGGAGGGAGGGGGGGAAAGATGGAGGGCTGAGCACGAGGGGGGGAGGGGACGAGGGAGGTTGCTGTGCCCTCTGTTTCTTGCCTCGCCTCCTGCGGAGCAGGGCTGGCAAAACGGGCCAGGGTGGATATACGGCGCAGCTTGCACGCTCAGGTAGGCTTGCCACGGTGTGGCTGGGGGGCGTCCAGCAGAGACGAGGTGGGGACGGTGAGAGGCAGAGGTCAGCTGCACGCGTCGAAAGCAGGCGCAGTCGAGCCTTCGCGTGGCTCCCGCGGAGTGCACAGCGGGGTCGCTCCTTGCACTGGCCCCTGACGTGTCGGAGATGCAGTGGATGGCTGCGCGCGTGCGACGGGCCTGTCGCCAACGCTTCTTGGAGCTGCCGCGCCAATCTTGGGTTCGGGCGAAAGCGGGGGGCAGGGAATCGGGGGGTTGCGTACGAAATCTGTTGTTTGCAGTCTGGTTTCGTACCCGCCGTTGGGCGCACTTCTCGTTGCAGTGGCGTCCCAGGCGCGGGGAGGCGCTGTGAAAGTCAGCCACGTGAGCTGATTCCCGACCCCCCTGTCTTACTGTCAGGAAATTTGGCTTTGCGTGTCGCCCCGAAGGTTCTGGCCCACCACGTTTCGGCGCGACACGCTGTCCATTTCCCAGTCCCAGAGCGTCAACGTCCCGTGCCTTTCCCGACCTCCCGCCCCGCGTAATGGAGCGACACGCCATCCATTCGCAAGGAATAGCGTGTCGCTGGGGCCGCCGCCGCGACACGTGAAGCAACAGTTCCTGACAGCCCCCCTCTTCGTCCGATCCGACACTGGCGCCCCTCGGGAGCTGCGCGGATCTTGCGCCGCGCGAGCTTTGCGATCGGCTCTTGCGCTCAATGCCCGATTGCCCACCCTGCAGCCGCCCAATCCCCTCAGGCTGGCGAGCTCGGAGGATCCCAGGTGGCCGTAGGGGGTAGAGGGGCGGAGAGTTGCGAATTAAAAAGCTAATTCCAGAACCACTCCTGGATAACCACGGACTTCCCCCTTTACAAACGCCGACAGGGTTGGCGGATCTTAAAGGGCAATCCCATTGATCTGAGTGGTTCGAACTACATTTAAGCCATTCGTGATTGGATTCAATTGATTTGTCTGTTGGCTGGTGGGTTGCCTAAGGTGCTGGTAGGGCAGGGGGGACGACAGACACCCGGCAGGGGCAGCCAGAGGGTTAAACCTCGCCGAGATGGGAATACGCCCAGATGGCAGGGGGGGGAGCGAAGATGCAGACCAGGATGGCGGCGAAGACGAGGATAAGGCGGAGCAGGATCATGGTGATATTGTGGATGATGAGGAGAAGGGAGAAGGGGAAGGAGGCTTGGCGGAGGAGGGCGGGACCAGCAGCAGCAGCAGCAGCAGGTTCTGGGTGGCGTCGAGAACATGGAGGGCAAGGTGCCAACGGTGGCTGTGTGGATCTGAGATGAGGGGGAGGCTGTGCGGGCCAGCAGGAGGATGAGGAGAAGTACGATAAGAAGGGGGGCAGCTGCCTGGGCGAGGTCCACATCCAACGAGACGCTCGACGACACGTCCAACGACACGTCCAACGAAACGTCCAACGGAACGTCCAACTCGACGTCCAACAAGACGTTGACGTCCAACACTACGTCGAAGTTCATGAATACGACGACGACGACTACCACCACGGTCTCGCGGGAGAAGGGAATTGCAACGGACCTCCGCCACTTTCCATGGTTTCCCCTCCCTCTTCTTTCCTTCTCTTCCCTCCATGCCTTCTCCTGTCCCCTTGTAAATATCACACTCCTCCAGACCACCAGACGCGTCGGTGGTGCGGCGTCTGACCAGAGACTTCCTCGTAATGGCTGTTCCTCAGGAGTGCTCGGCAGTCAAGCACATGAACAAGCACAGTGGATAGGTACAGGCCGTTTTCTAAATCTGGCTCTCGCCTCAGCACAGCCCACTTTCACCTTGCAAATCTCCAGCTTCGACCACACAAATGGAGGGCTGGCGGACTTCCGTAACCCGCCCAAGGGGTCCAGTCCATCATGTGTCAGAGAACGGGCGGCAATCATGTGCTCCAGCTGCCCGCGTTTCTCGGAGGTTCCTCGGGTTTCTTTGGCATTGCTCTACACTACGGTGAATTGCTTCGCATGCATTGGTCTGCATGTGTGTGTGCGTTGCTTTGCACTGCTTTGCGTTGCTCTTTGCGTTGCTGTGCTCCGCGGTGCTTCGCTTTTCGTTGAAGTGTTGTATTAAGCTGCGTTTCATGGTATGCGTTTCTTTGATTTGTGTTGAGTATCCTTTATTTGCCTCACATTGCAGCGGAAACATCAAACCTTTATTGGGACCGCCTTGGCTGCATCAACATCTTACTCCCGCGAGAGCGTTACGCACATTTTTCCAACGCCCCGACAGTCACACGGATCGAATGAGCTTGGTTTTCAATGTTCGAGTGTCTCTTCATCGCCGCCAACATGCGCTTTCCATATTCGCAACAGATACATCGATGGAGGGAGTCTCGTGTGTTTGTGTAACAGATACAGATCTAGCTCCTTATGCAGCGCCGCGCGCGTGCGTCTTAGCAGTTTCCCCGATCAGTGCTTGCACTGAGGGGCCTTTGCTTTTTCTTAGTTTCTCGCGAAACGGATCTGAACTCCACACGTCTCGCCACCTTCGCCACCGCGTGGGGCCTTGCGCATTCCTTGCACTTTGATTGTCGCACATCGCTCTCGTCGAAGCCGCACAGGGTCAGGGCAATCCCCATTTGTTCATGCCCCCCACTGGCCCTGACTGCTGCACGTCGCCACTGCGGCGTTGCGCCCCCCCACCAGAACTCATTGCCGCACATTGCCGCTGTCGCAAAGGCCCTAGGGAGGGCATCCTCCTCCCTTGCCCGCTACCCCCCATCCCCCATTCAGTTTCAACAACGTCCTCCCCTCCCTCCCTCCCATCCCCTCTTCCTCTACGCTCCATGAGCGTATTGACCACACCTTTCGACCTGAAAAGTGGCCTGAACCCGACATCACATCCCTGGTACGGCACTCCAAGTCGGAATATGTCAATCGACCCCCCGTGTATCTCACAAGGGGGCATTGCCAACAAAAACGCGTCATACTGATTACTACCCTAGCACTCGATCGCCGTCTGTTCGAACTCTGGGTCGATCGCCCAAGCAGATTTCCAGATGTCCATTGCTGTACGCGGTCTTTGTTTATCTGGGCAGTGTCTTCTTTCGGGCTCATTGTGTTCATCAGTGCATGTTTCAGGAGGAGAAAAAACACACAGACACAATTAATCGTCGATCCCCCAGAAAATATGGGAAAATATGGGAATTGGGCGGGAAGACAAACACACAGAAAATATGGGAAAATATGGGGAAATATTTTATTTGTGTGTATTTATTGAATTGAACGCCCCTGAGGGGGCAGACACCGCCGCCCCACTTTTTTGGGAACCCGGAGTTTCCGTGCGGGGGGATGCTCCTGAGGTTCTCTTGGGGCCTTCTAGTTGGATTCTTGGAGGCCTTGGAGGCTCTCCTGGGGCTACGTTGCCGCAAGCAGACAGCAAGCCTTGACCAACGTGAGCACCGTCGACCAAAGCGCAATGCTCCCCGACACAGAACATCGCAAGTGAAACGCCAGAGCGAGCGGGTTGCGGTCGACAATGCCAGAGCGAGCGGGTTGCGGTCGACAATGATGACCACGCTGTTGCCATTTTGCTCTCGAGCTCGATCAAGGGTTTTTGGAAGCCGCTGTACTGGCAAGGTCGCAGTCATGGCACGTTCGTTAAAGCGTCACCTTTCTGACGAGCTTCGCAGGGTAGAGCGCGAAAAAGGTATCGGAGACGCCTACGGCAAATCACGGCCGGCCCCATGCCTTTATGGGAAGCGTCTATGTGGCCGAAAGTTGGGCCAGAGCTTGCCCAAATTATCGGACCATGTGGTGCGGAGGCGGTGTGGAAAACCTTCAGGCAGCACAAGGAGCAGGAGGAGGAGGAGGAGGTGGAGGAAGAGGAAGAGGAGGAGGAGGGAGGAGGAGGAGGAGGAGGAGGAGGAGGGGAAGGAGGAGGAGGGGGGGGAGAATCGGGGAGAAGGACGGGGAGGGAGCTTTTGTTGAACTCTTGCGGCGTATTGGGATCTCTGGGGAGGGTTTCGGGCGCCTTTTGAGGTTTTTTGGGGAGCTCTTCGCGCTCTGTGGGGGCGTCTTGGAGGCTTTTGGGCCGTTTTAGAGTTGTCTTGGCCCGACTGACTCTTTGAGGCCGTCTTGGGGAGATCTCTGGGCTGTCTTGGTGCCCTCCTAGGGCACTTCTCGGGAGTTCTGGAGGCATTCTTGGACGTTTTGGAAGCATGTGGGGCCGTCTAGGGGTTCTGTTGGGGCCGTCTTGGGGGCCGCATGGGACGCCATGAGGCCACCTTCGAAGCCTCTTGGGCGATCTTGGGAGCCTTCCGATCCGTATGGGGCCGTCGGAAAGGTGAAAACACGCAAATGCCAAAAACCGAGCAGAACGTATCGAAAATCAATGTGTTTGGCTTCCTGGGGCCTTCCTGGAGAACTTCGAGGTCTTTTGGGCCGTCTTTGAGGCCTCTGGGGGGCCGTTCGGGCGGTGTTCAGCCATCGGAGGCCGTCTTAGGCCGTTTCGTGTCCAATTTGGGAAATATCGGAAGAATCGTCGAGCCATTGTAGCCGTCTTGGGCCGTCTTGGAGACCATAGTGGTCATTGTGAAGACAGTGTGGGATCCATTTCGGGCCATCTCGACGGTCTTGGGAAGGATTTGATGATTAGTGCGGGCCTTGCGCGGCCGAACGGGCTCTTCTGGGTGGCCGGCGGGCTGGGCCGTCTACTGACGGATATAAGACAGAGATCGCATGAGAACCTGGAGAATTCTCCATTTCGTGCCTCGAGGCACGGTAGCGGATTTCTGAACGGACACGTCGGCTTCACAAGCGGAAGATCAAACAAGGGACTCACTTTGTGCACATTTCTCGTCGTACCAAAGCGTTTCCCCTGGGGCAATGGACTCGAAATTACCACAAGGCGTTATTTTTGCTTTCCATGATTATCCGCACCCTTTTTGAGAAGAGCAGCATATTGAGGGACGAAGAGTGTGCACAGTCAGAAATTCGCATTCATGGCCGGTTCGCACGCCAATGCTTTTTATTTAGGAACTTGCCGGGGCAGTTTCGGTGCAGAGGCCTTCGGCAGAAAAAAACGAAAAAAGACAGGTTCGGCGCAGAGCCTTTCAACAACCTATGTAAGGCGATGGCGCGGATGCACTGTCATAGTCCTTTCAATAAGCGGGACGAAGTGCACGCATGCACGATCAACTTGGTAAAGAACGCTGGGAATACTGAAAGGAAAATCATGATGGCCAGCTTTTTTTTGGAGTTCAGTTTCCTGACGCATTTCGAAAAGAACGAGTCCAAGTTATTGGAGTTGGCCCGAATGAGTCCCAGGAAATTTGCCCAGAGCTGCTATAAGAGTGCCTTCGGCATGTGCCCGCTTGTTCCTTCCATCAGTCCCGCCTCGTGCAGAGCTTCGGGGGCCCAGGGAGCAGGACGTGAAGCCGTCACTCCAGACGGGCCCTGGTCGTTCAAAATCGATGCACTTACCCGCCAAGAAGCCGGGTGTCACGCCATGCCATTCAGTGCGGTGTTTCGTTGTGTTCCACTGCGCGATGCCAGGCTGCGCAACGCGCAGCTTTGTGATGCAACGCTTCGGTCGTCCTCTGGTTTCGTTTTCGTGGTATTTTCCTATTCCTTCGCATCGTTCTCGTGTTGTTCTCCTCGTCTGACAGCTTCCCCTGTCCTGGTTGCCCCCCCGTGAGTTTCTGCGTCTGGATGTTGCGTGCACCCCTGGGGCCGTTTAGGGCTCGTGCCTGATGGCGGCCTGTTCATCTGGTACTTTCAATGCGGTGTGGACGTCGTGCGGTGTGGACGTCGCCACGAGCGATCCGGGAGAATCTAGCTCATTCGCCGCCGTCCTCCGTGCATGTCTCGTTTTGATTTCCCCTTCACGTTCGTTGTGATGGTGATCATCCTTATCTTCCTCCTCTTCATGTGCCTTCTCGTGATCATCATCATCGTCGGGTCATCGTTGCCATGGTCATTATCGCCATGATGCCACCACCATCATCATTCGCCAAATTACGCTCGAATGGAGGGCGTCCGCGGATAACCGCGGCATTATTCCGGTGACTTGCCGATTCGGGCAGGGGAAGCAAAAATCTTGGCACAAGCAGCTTGTGGACTTTTTGAAAGGAGAGAAAGAGCACAATTATATAAGTTTAGTTACGCAAATTTATGAAGAACGCGTTCTTACTGTGGAACAGGCACGCGTTATTGCTTCGATAGTGGCGCTAGGGCCAGACAACTCCATGGCTCGCATGACCAGCCTGATAGCAGTACTAAAATCAAAGAAAGGATTCGGAGCGCTTTCGGTCAAGAATGTCATTGAGGTTCTTCGTGTGCACAACATATTGGCAAATATTTCTTTAGAAGAAACATCAAAAATCCCAGACGGGCCTGGGGCAGCCCAATTTTGGAGACTGACAGAGATCAGTCGAGACGAGATGGTGGCATATCTTAAAGACACTATTCAAAACATGAAAGACGTTGCCCTCAGAACGGGCAAGAAACCAGTGGCAGTCTCATTATCCACAGGGAAAACTGTCGAGTACGACATGAACCAGTTAGGATTTGAGGAGAGCAGCGTTGACCACGCGCTCGCTCAATATTGGTCTTGTGCCCAGAGCCGCATTCTGGCAGCCTACGAGTGTGTATCTCGGGGTGCTGAGCGGCCAATCCCCTACCATTTGCTGCCTAACAAACGTATTTTGGAAATCATTGCTGGCTTGTCTGAGTTTGCGGATTCAGAGAGCAGTGACGACTCAGTAGAGGATGAGGAATAGACGCCAAGTGTATAATCATCATCATTACATTTCCGTCATCAGTACTGGGTGTTGGGTTCGGTGAGGGTTGGCCGTTTGATCCAGAATGCTGTCTTTGGTGAGGGTTTGCCGTTCGCTCTCGGGAGGTGGCTTCGGTGGGTGCTTGCAGTTTGCTCCTGGAGTTTGGCGTAGTGGACGGTTGCCGTTTGATCCGAAGTGCTGGCTCCGGCGGGGGGTTGCCTTTTGATCCAGGGTGCCATGTGCAGTGGAGAGTTGCCGTTTGAGCCAGGGCGCTGGCTGTGGTGAGCGTTGCCGTGATCCAGGGCGCTGGCTTTTGTGAGGTTTTGCCGTCTGCCCCGGGCGGTGGTTTTGGTGGGGTTTCGCCGTTTGTTCCTGGCGGTTGGGCGCGGTGGAGGATTGTCGTTTGATCCAGGGTGCTGGCCCTGGGGAGGGTTTGCCGTTTGATCCGGGGTGTTGGCTTGGGTGGGGAGTTGCCGCTTGATCGAGGGTGTCAGGTGTAGTGGAGGGTTGCCGTTTGATCCAGGGTGCTGGCTTCAGTGAGGGGTTGCCGTCTGATCCGGGGTTCTGGGTTTGGGGGGGGTCTGCCGTTAGATCCAGGGTGCTGGGTGTAGCGGGGGGATGCCGTTGAATCCCAGGTGGTGGTTTTGGTGAGGGGTTGTCGTCTGATCCGGGGTGGTGGCTTCGGTGGAGGTTCGCCGTTAGATACAGGGTGCTGGGTGCGGCAGGGGTGGTGCTGGCTGTGGTGAGCGTTGTGATCCAGGGCGCTGGCTTTTGTGAGGTTTTGTCGTCTGCCCTGGGCGGTGGGTTCGGTGGGGTTTCGCCGTTTGCTCCTGGCGGTTGGGTGCGGTGGAGGATTGCCGTTGTTCTAGGGTGCTCGCCTTGGGGAGGGTTTGCCGTTTGATCTGGGGTGTTGGCTTGGGTGGGGCGTTGCCGCTCGATCGAGGGTGCCAGGTGTAGTGGAGGGTTGCCGTGTGATCCAGGGTGCTGGCTTCAGTGAGGGGTTGCCGTTTGATCCGGGGTTCTGGGTTTGGCGGGGGTTTGCCGTTAGATCCAGGGTGCTGGGTGCAGCGGGGGGATGACGTGTGAGGGGTGTGCCGAAACGGGGTGTCACCCACATGCGGGCGGCGCCACTGAGGCCATCGGTGGAGCTCCCTCTGGGGCCACCTCTACCCAAAACTGCACGGAGCGTTTGGTACCGGGGGATTAAACGGGGCAGTCTCACCCAATGCAAAAGCGGGATCGGGATGTAGCTTCTGAGGGGGGTTGCCGTTTGCTTTTGAGGGTTGGGCGTAGTGGAGGGTTGCCTTCTGATCTGGGGAGTTAGGTTTGGCGAGGGTGTGCCGTTTGATCCGGGGTGTTGGCTTCAGTGAGGGGTCCCCTTTTGTTCCAAGATGCTAGGTGCAGTGGAGGGTTGCCGTTTGATCCAGGGTGCTGGCCGTGGTGAGCGTTGCCGTAATCCAGGGCGCTGGCTTTTGTGATGTTTTGCCGTCTGCCCCGGGCGGTGGTTTCGGTGGGGTTTCGCCGTTTGTTCCTGGCGTTTGGGTGAGGTGGAGGGTTGTTGTTTGATCCAGGGTGCTGGCCTTGGGGAGGGTTTGCCGTTTGATCCGGGGTGTTGGCTTCGGTGGGGCGTTGCCGCTTGATCGAGGGTGCCAGGTGTAGTGGAGGGTTGCCGTTTGATCCAGGGTGCTTGCCTTGGTGAGGGTTTGCCGTTTGATCCAGGGTGCTGGCGTTTGTGAGGTTTTGCCGTTTGCTTCCGGGAGGTGGCTTCGGTGGGTGTTTGCCCTTTGTTCTGGGGCGTTTGAGCGTAGTGGAGGGTTGCTGTTTGATCTCGGGTGTTGGTTTTGGCGAGGGTTTGCCATTTGCTCCGGGGTGCTGGCTTCGGCGAGGGTTTGCCGTTTGATCCAGGGTGCCAGGTGCAGTGGAGGGTCGCCGTTTGATCCAGAGTGTTGTGTTTGGTGAGGGTTTCCCGTTTGATCCTGGGTGGTGGTTTTGGTGGAGTTTGCCGTTTGCTTTCAGAAGGTGGCTGCGGTGGGGGTTTGCCGTGTGCTCCTGGGGGTCTGGCGTAGTGGAGGGTTGCCGTTTGATCCAGGGTGCTAGGTTTGTCGAGGGTTTGCCGTTTGAGCCGGGGTGCTGGCTTCGGGGGGGGGGTATGCCATTTGATCTAGGGTGCCAGGTGCAGTGGAGGGGGTGCCGTCTGATCCATTGAAAAGATCTGTCAGAGGTGTTCCAAAACACGCCGGGCCAAAATTGCCACAATCCCCTGTGTGGCGATCTCAGTATAAGGAAAGGCCGATAGAGGAGGTGATGCAGTCGATGTGGATGGAGCATGCCATCCATGTCACCGGCTCAGGCGAAAATATTAGGCGCACCACCTCCCGCATACGTTCGTAGTGACTGCATCCAGGGCCGTGCTTGTTGAAAGCCGGGTGTAACTGCATGGATGATGTTTGAGTATGGTCGGCAATGTCCACGAGAGTTGGCCTAAGTAGTCGACGGGTTGAGAAGAGTTCGAGAGCACCTATAGACGTTTGGCTCGAGCTTGCTCTCCATCAAGAGTTTGGTGTCAGCGCGGCGCAAGCTGCTTCATCAGCAGGGCCGGCGCGCAGCATGGGGAAGGCGAAGGCTCCCGCTCCGAAGAAGGCGAGTGCTTCCGGCAGCGGTTCCGGTTCTAGCCGCGGCTCCGCGCCAGGCAAGCGCGGAGTCATGGAGATCCCGTCCTTGTCTGATATGGGTCCGGCGACTAAGGGGGCGAAGACGAGCTTCGACAAGCGGGGCGTTCCAGGCGATGATGCGGTGCACGTCGTCTGCCTGGAATACTCGCAGGACGGCGGCAAGTACGGCGATCAGTTCGAGACGGGCCCCTTGATTCAAGCCACCACGATTTGTAGCCTCACTCCATCTCCTCTGTACATGCAGAAAAAAGTTGTGGAGATGTTCGGCGCCCAGCACTCGGCTGATGACGGGGAGTCTCCGCCGAAGAGCCTGGATGAAGTCCTTGACACATATCAGGCGGCTTTCTCGTACACGTCGAAAAAGTCTACCGATGAAGACGGCGTCGGCTGGGCCAAAAACGCCGCTGCGTGGTACGTGCCAGCTGCGAAGATTAAGGACTTCCTCATGTACTACGACGAGGTCATTGCGTGGCGCTTCAAGTTCCAGGACGAGGAGTTTGACAGCATCACAACGCCGACGCAACCGAAGATCATGGTTCACGTCCCATCGCAGGCCGCGTGGAAGCCCGTCGTCGACGCTACGCAGGATGAGCTAAAGTGCGTCTTCGAGATCGAGGAGGAGGAGACCTGCAAGCCCATGGGCGTATCGGTGTTTGGAGTGCCGCCGCCAACGTTCCCGCGCAGAGTTGTCATCGTGCAATTCGAGCTCACCGCTGACGGGTCGAAGGCCCACTGGGTCTTCGCTGGCAACACTATGCCTTTCAAGTCTGGCTTCGTGGAGCACAAAATATCAGGTCGGTCTTTCAAGAGCCCCATGTCCGAGTACCCTCAGTTTTTCAGGATCATCGAGCACGTGGACCTCACCGACACCCAGAAGGCGATCGACATGCTGAAGGACATCGTGACTGACATTCTGAAGAAGACCCCGGTCGTCCTCCGCCTCAAGGAGACGAAAGCGGACTCGTGCCACATCCGTAAGGTTGTGAGCGCCTTTGGAGAGGAGGAGTTCCCGAACGTGCGCAGCGAGATCAGCGATCACTGAGCGGGTAAGAGCGCCCCCCCCAGCCCGTGTGAGCGGGCCCCAGCCTGTAGGAGCGTGATCCAGCCAGAAGCCCCGTGCGTGTATGATATCATTGTGATTGCCCCTGGCGCCGAGGGGTGGGCCCAAGCTCGTACCAGCGAGCTCCAACAGAACGTTCAGGCGTGGCGCCGCGGACTTTTGCAGCGCTTCGCCTGCTTGGCCCCGCTGAAATTTAGTCTCGTATGCAGTGGCGGGGTTCGCGTTGCTAAAAATGTGAGCGCTGCGTGCACTGCGGGCAGGGGATTGCAGGGTTTGCAGGGATGTCGCGGCAGCAGAGGAAGCGTCGTTCGGGAGCTCAAGCGATTGTTTGGAAAGGGCGGTCGTCGCCGAAATCGCTCGGCGAGCCCGGTCTGGGCCCTGAGCGGTACGTCTGCGTCACTGGAGGTCCCGGCGTGGGGCGCGCGCAGTGCATGATGGAGGAACGGGCCCGGTTCAGACCAAGCGGCGACAGGGGATGGATGGTAGCAGGTGGGAGCCAGGTTGTAGAAGAATGGGCCAGGCTCATCTCGGAGGGTCCGGAGATATGGTAAGATGGTAGGGTTGCCGTTGATCAACATGCAAGAGTTTAGTCCGGGCCTGTTCCAGCAAGAGGTCGTGCTTGGAAAGATGCTTATGAGCGCCTCCCTCAGCCCCGAGGAGAGATTGTAGCAATATCGGCCCGCCCTCTGATGGCGGGGCGGGGAGAGAAGTGTCAGGCGGTGAGAGCATGCGAGGGTAGCAGGAGGGCCCGAGACAGATTGAATATGAGGGCAGTGTACTCTGTTAAGGAGGGGGGCTGCCTGGAAGGACGTGTAATGAGGCGGCCTTCGCACCTATCTGGCCTTGTCGGACTGGTCGGAACGTGGGGTTTGGTGGGAATAGATGCCGATGCCCTTGGGCGCGGTCCCTGGGCGGTCTACGTATCAGCCATATGACAGGGTCGCATGTGGTTTGCAACAGAAAGCTAGGGGATGAAATCCCGACCCCGTAGCTGCCAGGGATTTCCGGAACGTCTGGCCGTTGCTTCAGAGAAGCTTCATTTCGTTGGAGGGTCTCTGCCCGCTGAGCCCTCTCACGCCCTAGGAGCGGGTATAGTTTTTTGTTGGGGGGTTTCCGGATCATGTGGCCGTCGTTGTAGTGAGGATATACTTCCGCCGAGGGGTTTGGCCCGATGTGCCCTCTCATGTCTCAGAGAGGATTGTAACAGATGGGGCCCGTCTTCTAGGGGGAGAGGGAAGGGGTACACCAGGGCGCATCGACGGATGAGGGAGAGGCGAAGTCAGAGGCCTATGTGTGGAAAGGTGTAGTAGGAGATAGGAGATCAAGCAGGTGTGGCACATTTATCCAGGGAACAAAACTGATACAAGCCCTTGGGCGGCAACCTTTAGGACCATCGGGCGCGGGTGTCAGTAACGTTAGCTTTCTCCTGATGATTTCAGCCTGGTGGGCCTTCTGATACCCCAGACAGCATTGTAGCAAAATCGGCCGCCCTAGTGTAGTGGAGACTGTAAGTAGAAAAAGGCTGCCGAATAGGGACCGGGCCAAGGGTAGGGGGAAGCCGCAGTGCTTTGCGATTGGCCCGAATTGGGACGCAGCCATAAGCATCGCATCTGCGCGCTCCGGGCAGCGCGCGCGGTCGAGGCTGAGGCGCGTCATCGTGTTGCACGTCGATGCCGCAGCGCGACAAATGGAAAGATACTGGTAGTGGTGGCGGCTTCGCAGGGCGCCCGACGCCCGTGCGGCGAGCTTAGCAAGGCTTGATCAACTTAGAACAGAGAGTTCCGTGTGTTGTCATGCAATATGGTGGGGTGGGATCCAGCTGGCCTTGCCACCTTGTCTTCTCCGCGGGAGTCCTGCGGGAGGAGTCTATGGACAACTTGAGGGGTTGGGGGTGTGTGGCTGGGATATAGTGGCGAGAAGGCATGGTGGCTCCGAAACTCATAGTTGTGGGTTAGGAGGCTGGTAGTTGTAGGGCCCTGGGCATCTGGTGTCGGAGGTCTCCGGGCTCTATGATATCAGATTCGTGTAGAACTCGCCAGATCGGGTTGGTCATCGGGTGCGGTATCGGGGCGGCGAGCGAGTGCATTCGTGTTCGCTGGGTCGGAACGCGGCCGTTCGGATTGAAACGGCGATCAGGGACGAAGTCAATGTGGTGGATCAACGTTTGTTGCCGAGGCCTACATTGGTGGCCGATATCGCTGGGCGGGGCATTCACATGGCTGCTCGCACGTGCGGTGATGGAGCCTGCGCTCTGCACAGTGCATGGGGCGTAGTCACGGAGGAAGTGGGCCAGAGTGGTACGTGGTATTATTGTGAGAACGCCCGGGACAGAGTACTCATGAACGTTCCAGTGAGCTACGAGGCAGGTCAGGTCGACGGGGACGCGGCCACCGCATTGAAGATATGGCTTGACTTTGTTTGGGCGGACCAGGTGATGTTCGCCATGGCCCGCGCCCGGGGGGAGCCCGTGACGCCAGCTGAAAGTCGCGGTGCAGGTGTGATCTGGGAGGCCTTAAGCGCAGAGCGGCGGGAATGTCTGGAGGACTTCGCTGAGCTCAAGCTCGTGGAAACCAACGTGATCGAAGTGCTGTCCGAAGACCTCGTTCATAGGAGTGTGGCGATGTTCGAGATGGAGAACCGACCGTATTTGAAGCATTTAGTCGTGGCCCTGGGGTACGTCTCAGAGCAGGACTCGAAGAAGTTGGGCTTCATCCTGGACGGGGTGGTGAGCGATCCTTTGGAGTTGTTCAGGCCGTCTAGAACGTACCACAGCAGGTCTCGCTTCGACGTCATGTGCGAGGGGCACGTGGATGAGAGTCGCAGCTTGCGCAGGCTACTATTTTTGAACAATGTCCACGGGTCATCTGAGGAGGGCGTGAAGAGTATTATGTCCACGCTGCATCGGTTTCAGGCTGAGATGGCGCAGGCGGGGCGGAGCGAGCTCGCACATGCCCTTGTCGGAGTGGCGGCTACGCTTAAAACGCGCTGGGAGGCTCAGCGTTTGCCGGATATCCCGTCCGAGTGTACCCCAACAGAGGCGTGGACAGCATGTCGGCGTGCGTGGGCTGACGGTCGGTATTGGTTTTCAGTGGACGAGTTGTATATGTTTGCGTATTTCGCGGATGCGAACGTGGAAGTATTCGTTCTCGAGGTGGACGGCGAGGAGGGTGTGACGTTTGTGGAGATGCCATCCAGCTTTGGGCGTTATGTGGGCGAACAGCGTCCAGTCGCAGTGGTCCTCACTACAGACGTCGACACGGGGCTTGGCCACTTCTCTCGGTTGTTGAGCAGCGCGGAGTGGGAGAGCGCCGAGGATTATAGTGCGCAAGCATCAGACAGTGGGCGTTTTGACAATTGATAAGGAAAGTATGTCTGAAAATCCCTCCCCGGAGAGTTTCCCCGGAAGTTTTCCGGAAAGTCTCCGAGAATATGTTGGAAGTATGTTCAGGGGCCGGAAGTTTTACGGAAATTCGCCGGACATATTTTGAAAATATTTTCCGGGGCCGGAACTTCCGGAAATTCATCGGACATACTTTGGAAAATTATTTCCGGGGCCGGAAGTTTGCCGGATATTGTCTGTAAATATTTTGGAAATAGCTTCCAGGGCCGGAGGTTTTCCCAGAAATTCTCCGGAGATACTTGGGAAATATGTTTCGGGGCCGGCCGGGAATCCCCGGAAAGTGTTTGACTTGTTTCTGGGAATCCTCGCCTGTCTGACTACTAGCGCGCTATAAGCCGAGGACGTTGACGGTGTCGGTGACTCTGAGGATGGGCACTCTTCTTCGGGAAGTAGTTCGGAGGAATGCGAGGGCGTGGGCGCGGCGCCACCCGCAGAGATGAGCGATGTCGGCGGCGGCAGTGCTGATCCGGGGCTAGCCGCAGACTGCGAGTCATTAAGCGATGCAAGCGATGGTCTCGATGTCAGCGACGTTCAGGTCGACGCAACGAAGTCGTTTACAACCAGGGAAGATCGCGCAGTGCATCGTATCGAACGGGTTGCCGGCATGCTGCGAGAGTCACCTTTGTTGCCGTGTGACCCGATGGACCCGATGAAGCCGTTTCAGCAGGTACACACTGGGATGCGATTTCCATTGGTGCAGTGCGCTTTTCAGGGGTGTACCTGGTCTAAAGATATGGATGCAGAGGGGCTGAGGCAGTGGAGTATGGAGTGGGCACTGTACTGCCACATCAAGAAAGACCATCGCGCTGCATTCGAGGAGGAGTTCGCCGAGTGGGATCGACAAAGTCCGCCGGAACGGGCGAGTCAGGCTGGGCGGCAGGAAGGGGACGTTTTCAGGAGAGTGATATCAGACTACATCGCTGCCCTCCGTGTACGGGAGAGGCAAGGCATGCCGAGTGTTGGTGTCGCGAAAGATCGGCAGTTGCTACGGGGGCTTCACCATGTACTTGGAGGTGTGAGCATGAGGATCTGTTTCGGGTGTGCGCAGAAGCATGCACACGTCCCTTTGTGGACGTCCCAGTATGCTCCGGGGCAGCACGGACTTCATGAAGATGGTGATGGTCGACGTTGGACCGAACACAAAGAAGCACGTTTTTCTTGCAGTCCCTTGGGTATGTACTCCATCAGCGAATCTTTGGAACGGTTCCGGAATCGGAACGAGCGCAATTTCTTGTTGCATTTTGGCTTTGACAAATTTAAGGCGCGGCATGCTGGGGACGGTGACAACAATGACAACCCTTTCCGTGGACCAGGGTGCATGCTTGCATTGGAGAGAGAGTGGGTTAGGACTATAATTTTGCAGAGCCCCTTGCAGGAGGTCCGCGTGGTATGTTGTCCAGAAGATGTGGAGCGGTGTCATGCTTGTACGAGGGCGGGAGCGGGCACTGGGGAACGAGCATTGTGTGGGCAGTGCAGAGTGCCGTTCTGCCGACGGTGTGCAGAGTGTGTGGTTCGGAATATTTGTTCGGATATACCCATGGTTTTGGCAAATGACAATCTATGGGGGTACGTGTGCGATTTGCTGTTCCGTTACAGAGTGTCGTGGTTAGAAGCAGCCGTGGTGCAACCGTTTTGGACGTCGTTCATGGTATGTTACGTCGAAGGTACGGTGGGGCATCTCATGGGTGAATGTGTTCAGCAGGCAGAGTACCGTTATCGTGTGCGAGGGACCGCGCACAGTTTTCATTTACCTTGGGAGGAAATCGTGCACGAGTTGACAAAGCATTGCGGCTCGGAGTCGTCAGTTGAGGACCTTCCGAGAAAACCAGCGCACCTGCGGTATCTGTTGCGAGTGCAGATGAAGGTGCATGGTAAGTTGTTGGAGCGGGTGTTGAGGCAGCTGACAGTCCGCCCATATGTGCTGTACAAGCTGCTGGAGTACCTCATCGACCACAACCATGAAGCTTTTCGGGGGAAGGGGCCTCCAGGCACGCTGAAGGAGAAGATGGCGTCTGAGATCAGACGGTGGTACCCAGAAGACGCGGGCCAAGACCATGTTACACTGGATGAGCGCGTATGCAATGTCGCGGAGCACGTGGCGCAGGAATTGCGGGGCGAAGAGGCGGCCCCCCCGGCGAAAAGGAAGCGCGCCGTGCTGGTGAAAGAGAAGAGCTCCATTCCGGCGGCTGCAGATACGGACTGCGAAAGAGCTCTTGAAACTCGCCCACTGTCAGTCGGCGCAGGTCAGACTACAAAATCTTTGAGCGATCCAGCGTCGATGCGCATGGGGGCGTTCGCAGAACATGGTAGATTGGCGATTGTCACTCAGTCGCAGCTGGTAGCGCAATGGAATGGAAAGTATGCTTCGGCTACGCCGGTTCCAGATCTTTTTCGGGTTGCGAAGCAGTCCGTCATTCTTGAATCCGTTTTGGAGGAACAGTGGGGCCCCTGGGGGTTCGAAACATGAAGGAACTCATTTATGATTGCTTTATGCACGCTCCAGCAGTTTCGATGCTCCCAGGGATCTCGCGTAGGAGTTGCACGTATGATGGCCCAGATTACGCATCCGTTCGGTGGAAAACGAAATGGGTTCGCGGGTACTGAGGGCGTACTGAGAAGGATGTGTCACTGGAACAAACCTGTCCGGATCGCCGAGGCCTCATCGAAGTCGGGTTTGGGCGGAGAGTCCAGGCGGATTTTTTCCCACAATCCCCTGAAGGGTGTTGTTTGGGGGGGCCTAGTGCTTGAAGCCTAGTGAAGTGGGAAATGGCAGGACTCGTCGGGCCTGTTTCCTTTCTCGGGGTCTTTCTCGTCTGACAGACCCAGGAGCCTGCACGCAAGGCAGGAGCCCCAGGAGCCTGCACGCAAGGCGGCTCCAGGAGTTGAGGGTTCAAGCGGCCCCAGGAGCCTGCACGCAAGGCAGGATTTGTGAATGTAGGTATGAGGGGAAACCTAGTTTGCATTGGAGGCGTGTAGTGGCTTTTCTCGTCTGAGTTTCATGCGGGCCGTTTTCGCTACAATCCCTCATTGGACCCCCAGTGGCTTCCCAGTGTAAGTTTTATTGTATATCTTACGCATTCGTTCATTCGGTTCGTTCGTGCTATTATGCCGCTTGTAGGGGCCACGGGTTTGGGGAGGGGCACGCCAGGTGGGAGCTGTAACCATGATTGCCTGTAGTACGCCTGTGGTACGCGAAGGGCTCATCAGTTGGTTTCTGCTGGTGGTTTTCGTTACAAACGTTGGTGGATATTAGGGGGCCCTGAGCAGTGGGGCAATGTTGCGTCCGGGAAGCTTCCGCGGACCTCCGGGGACATCCGGGAACCTCCAGGGACCGCCAGAGGAGGCGAGGCAACATCGACGACGACGACGACGACGACGACGACGACGACGACGACGACGACTACGATGACGACGACGACGACGACGACGACGACGACGACGACGACGACGACGACGACGAAGCAGCGTGCCGAAACGGGGTGTCGCCCACATGCGGGCGGCGTCACTGAGGCTTTCAGTGGAGTTCCCTCTTGGGCCACGAAGCGTGCGAGGGGTGTGCCGAAACTGGGTGTCGCCCACATGCAGGCGGCACCACTGAGGGCTTCGGTGGAGCTACCTGTGGCCTGTGGGGTTACGAAACGCGTGAGGGGTGTGCTGAAACGGGGGTGCGCCAGTGGAGGGTTGCCGATTGATCCAGGGTGTTGGGTTTGGTGAGGGTTTGCCCTTCGATACAGGGTGCTGGTTTTGGTGGAGTCTGCCGTTTGCTTTCGGGAGGTGGCTTCGGTGGGTGTTTGTGTGTGTTCCTGGGGGTTTGGCGTAGTGGAGGGGTGCCGTTTTCCAGGGTGCAGGCCTTGGCGAGGGTTTGCCGTTTGATCCAGAGTGCTGGGTTCAGTCGGGGGGTGCCGTTTCATCGAGGGTGCCAGGTGCAGTGGAGGGTTGCTGTTTGATCCATTGTGTTGCGTTTGGTGAAGGGTTGCCGTTTGATCGAGGGTGGTGCCTTTGGTGAGGGTTTCCCGTTTGCTTTGTGGAGGTTGCTTCGGTGGGGGTTTGCCGTGTGCTCCTGGGGTTTGGCGTAGTGGAGGGTTGCCGTTTGATCCAGGGTGCTGGCTTTGGCGAGGGGTTGCCGTTTGATCCGGGGTGCTGGCTTCGGTGGGGGTTTGCCGTTTGTTCAGGGTGCCAGGTGTAGTGGAGGGCTGCCGTTTGATCCCGGCTGCGGCTTGGAATGTGGTGAATCAGCAGTGCGAATGATCAGTGCGAGGGTTTCGTTTGATCTGGGGTGTTGGCTTCTATGGAGGGTCGCTGTGTGATCCAGGGTGCCCGGTGCACTGGGGCTTGCCGTTTGATCCAGGGTGTTGGGTTTGGTGTGAGTTTGCCGTTTGATCCAGAAGGTTGTTTTTGGTGAGGGTTTGCCGTTTGCTTTCGGGTGGTGGCTTCGGGGGGTCTTTGCCGTTTGCTCCTGGGGGTTGGGCGTAGTGGGGGGGTTCCGATCGATCCAGGGTGCTGGCTTTGGCGAGGATTTGCCGTTTGATCTGGATTGCTGGCTCCGGTGGGGGGTTGCTGGTGATCCAGGGTGCCATGTGCAGTGGAGAGTTGCCGTTTGATCCAGGGTGCTGGCTTTGGGGTGCGTTGCTGTGATCCAGGGCGCTGACTTTTGTGAGGTTTTGCCGTCTGCCCCGGGCGGCGGCTTCGGTGGGGTTTCGCCGTTTGCTCCTGGCGGTTGTGTGTGGTGGAGGGTTGCCGTTTGATCCAGGATCCAGGGTGGTGCCTTTGGTGAGGGTTTCCCGTTTGCTTTGTGGAGGTTGCTTCGGTGGGGGTTTGCCGTGTGCTCCTGGGGTTTGGCGTAGTGGAGGGTTGCCGTTTGATCCAGGGTGCTGGGTTTGGCGAGGGTTTGCCGTTTGATCTGGGGTGTTGGCTTCGGTGGGGGTTTGCCGTTTGATCCAGGGTGCCAGGTGTAGTGG